TGGCTATTGTAAATAATGCTGCAATAAGCATAGGGGTGCATATATCTTTTCAAATTAGTGTTTTATTTTTCTTTCGGTAAATACCCAGTAGCAGAATTACTGGATTGTATGGTAATTCTATTTTTAATTTTTTGAGGAATCTCCTTATTGTTTTCCTCAGTGGCTGCACCAGTTTGCATTCCCACCAACAATTCACAGAGCTTCCTTTTTCTCCGCATCCTTGCCGATACTTGTTGTTTCTTGTGTTTTTATTTTAGCCATTCTGACAGGTGTGAGGTGATACCTCACTGTGGTTTTAATTTGTATTTCCCTGATGACAAGTGATGTGGAGCATCTTTTCATGTGTCTGTTGACCATCTGTATGTCTTCTTTGGAGAAATGTCTGTTCATGTCTTCTGCCCATTTTTAATTGGGTTAGTTGTTTCTTTGGTGTTGAGTTGTATAAATTCTTTATATATTTTGGATATTAACCCCTTATTTGCAAATATTTTCTCCCATCCAGTGGGTTGTCTTTTTGTATTGTTGGATGGTTTCCTTTGGGGTGCAAGAGCTTTTTATTTTGATATAGTTCCAGTAGTTTACATTTGTTTTTTTTCCCCTTGCCTCAGGAGATATACCTAGAAAAATATTGTTATGACTGATGTCAGAGAAATTACTGCCTATGTTCCCTTTTAGGATTCTTATGTTTTTGGGCCTCACATTTAGGTCTTTAATCCATTTTGAGTTTATTTTTGTATATGGTGTAAGGAAATGGTCCAGTTCCTTTCTTTTGCATGTAGCCGTCAAGTTTTCCCAACACTGTTTGTTGAGGAGACTGTTTCCCCATTGCATATTCTTGCCTCATTTGTTGTAGATTAATTGACCATATAATTGTGCACTTATTTCTGGGCTCTCTATTATGTTCTATTGATCTATGTGTCTATTTTTGTGCCAGTACCACACTGTTTTGATTACTACAGCTTTGTAGTATATCTTGAACTCTGGGATTGGGATACCTCCAGCTTTGTTCTTTCTTTTCAAGATTGCTTTGGCTATTCAGGGTCTTTTGTGGTTCCATACAAATTTTAGGGTTAATTGTTCTAGTGCTATGAAAAAATGCTGTTGGTATTTATGTAGGGATTGCATTAAATTTGTAGATTGCTTTGGGTAATATAGACATTTTAACAACATTTGTTCTCCCAATCCATGAGCATGGAATATCTTTCTATTTGTTTGTATCATCTTCAATTTCTGTCATCAATGTTTTATAGTTTTCAGAATACAGGTCTTTCACTTACTTGGTTAAGTTTATTCCTAGGTATTTTTTTCTTTTTGATGAAGTTTGTAAATGGAGCTGTTTTCTTAATTTCTTTCTGCTACTTCATTATTAGTGTACAGAAATGCAACAGATTTCTGTATATTGATTTTGTATCCTGTGACCTTACAGAATTCATCCATCAGTTCTAGAAATTTTTGGTGGAGTCTTTAGAGTTTTCTATATGTAATATCATGTCATCTGCAAATAGTGCAAGTTTTACTTCTTCCTTACCAATTTGGATGCCTTTTATTCTTTTTTTCTTGTCTGATTGCTGTGCCTAGGATTCCAGCACTATGTTGAATAAAAGTGGTGAGAGCATGCATCTTTGTCTTGTTTCATAGAGGAAAGCCTAAGAAAATAATTATTAATATGCACAAATATTTAGCCACATAATGCTCAAGATGTTCTATATGGGATTTTAAAAAAATTATATCTAGAACTGCAGCAACCCTAGATAGTCAATAGGGTGGATGAAGTAACTGCCATAGGCATTCGACTGAATACTATGTAGTAAATAAAAATTACAGAAGAATAATTAATGACATAGGATGTGTTTTTCTTTAAGGCAGTAACCTAAGTCAAGATGACTACTGTAGTTGTATGCATCAGAGCATCCCATATCCACATTCAAGGAAGGAAGAAGAGTGAAGGAGCTGTAACAGAGAGTACTGTTGGCATATTTATTCCTTTATAAGGCAAAAAGGTCTTTTGCAGAAGTTCCCAGCAGAGTTCCTTTTCCCTCTAGTTGACCAGATCTGTCATCTGGATACCCATTTCTATAGGAGAGACCAGGAATGTAAGTTTTTTTGTTTTTGTTTTGCTTTTTTTTTTTTTTTTTTAAAACCTCTTTAGTAGAAAGTGGCAAGGGAGAAGAGAATTGGGATGGCTATTGTATACCAACAGACGCTATCCATCATACTTTATTCACTGTTCTGAGACATTATTCCAGGGCTGCATAACCCTAGCTTTAGAGTCTCAACTGTTTTCCAAATTTCCAGGTGCCTTGAAAGAGGGGGAGGGATTAATTCCTTTTCTCAGAGAAGTCCTTGTTTAGAACTCCTATGGGCTTATTAATTTAGTAGGCTTTTCTCACCACTTTTGGATTTTAGTTTTCATTTTGTTTTCAGGTTTATTATCCCAGGAACTATAGTATAACTATAGTGATGAGGAAATTATATAACTATTTTGAATAACTGGAACAGACAAGCAATCCAGAGACTTCATTTATTTTTTGATCATATGGTAAAGGGATTTATGTGTCATCCTGTTGTGCATTTTTGGACAGAAGCTTAGGGTGCTATGTTAGCACCAAGTAAGAATTTAAGGAGGTAAGAGCCTTTATTTTTAACAGCCAGCAGTGGACTTAGAATATCCAATTGGAATGGAATTTACTGTGGCTCTACCTTTGAAATATAACTGGGCTGTTACTGAGCTCCTGAAATAGCAAACACGGAAAAGAAAGACTCAATTTTAACTAATAACGCATCTATACACAAAAGCCTTTTGCTTGACCCTCATTAATACAACTAAAATCTATTTCCATTTACTTGTGGAGAAAAAGCTTGATTTTCTCATTTCTTCCTTAATAAACACTGATAACTACACCCTGAAAAAATACCGTCCACATGCAGTGTCTTCTTCCCCAGGGTCCCATCAAATTAAAATTACTCAATTCCCCCAGTGCAAACACAAATTTCTCTTGTCAGATCATATAAATTAGGGCCAAAAATACAACCTGAAAATTAGAGTAAATAATAAAGAACACTCTTGCCCACATGCTAGTAGACCAAGTTCTAAAAATTAGCAGCTCTCTCTAAAAATGTTTTCATCCATATATTATAAAGGAAAATGAAAAGACCCAAGAAACAAAAGGAATTTTTACTGAAATTAATTTTGTTTTATTTTGGAATTGGAATTCATGGTTAATTCTAAATTTCTATGTCTTATTTTTAAGAATACAAAGGAAGCTGATGAACAATCCTTAAGTATATCTGCTTAACGTACCCATACAAATGGAAACCCATCACTTCATCAATGCGGCCATTTCTACCTATGACCAAACGACACTGCATAACAATACCATTCTGTGTGGTTCATTACTGACCGCTTCAAAGATCAGTCCAGTTTGTTCCTTGAGAACCTCAACTATCCACTCAGTTGGCAACCGATGGTGCTGAGTTGTGACATAACTGACATTTATCAAGGTCTTACTCAGTGCCATGCATTATTTTAAGTGTTTTACATGTGTCTTCTCAGTTAGTCTTCAGGACAATGCTATAGCCATGTGTTATTATTAATTATTATCATTCTATTTATTTGGGGAATTCATACCTTAGTCAGTAGGAAGCAAATGTTTCTAGATGCCCTTCTCCAGCTGTATTTCTTGTCCTTACACATTGTAAGAAAGGTGTACTCAAAACGAAAGCACCATATACTCACCCACAGATGTGCTATAAGGTGTGGGCCAAAGGTGGATTGGCAGTTATCAAGTAGAGGGGTGGGATAGAATATGGGGCCAGCTTAACCTTGTTTTACTTTATTGTTGCCACCTTCCCAAAGGCCCAAATTGGGTATGGGTAGATTTTAAGAGTAATATAAGTCGATTGTGTCTGTGTGGATTTCACAGTTTTAAGCTGTAACACAAACATGTCTTTATTTCAACTTGAAATTCAACATCTAAATCCACTAAAAGAGAGAGTATTGTGTTTTAACAAAATGCCATACAACCACCAAATTAGGGTAGGGCTTTGAGTAGACTGCTTGGGGTAGATTTGACCTGCCCATGAAGATGCACCCCACAAGGGTGACAGTCATATCACTTCTCTGCCCAAGTGTCTTATTGTCACTTCTAGCTACTGGCCACTGCTGACTATTAGAGAACAACATATGTTCCAAGCTAGGACAACCAAATTTGCTGGCATAGGAATTAAGAATCAGGATTCAGAGAAGGATAGGAATCCTCTGCGTCTGGCTTGAACTGAGGGCATGGAAATTTAGGATCTGTGGAGGGATGGCCCTGAGCACAGAGAAACAAAGATAACTGAGGAAAGAAAAAAAAGAATAAAATACATGAGCAGGGAAAAGCAGTGCTTAGAGACCATATGGTATAATATGGTAGGAAAAAGGGAGAGACTGCCTTTCTATGGGTTTGGACAAATGTATAATGATATGTATCCACCATTAGAGTATCATGGAGAAAACTTTCACTGCCCTAAAAATCTCCTGTGCTCTGCATATTCATCCTTCCCTCTCCCCTACCCTTGGCAACCACTGATCTTTTCACAGTCTCCATAGCTTTGCATTTTCCAGAATGTCATATAGTTGGAATCAAACAGTATATAGCCTTTTTAGATTGGTTTCTTTCACTTACTAATATGCATTGGAATTCCCGCCATGTCTCTTCATGGTTTGATAGCTCATTTCTTTTTAGTACTGAATAATATTCCGTCGTCTGGATGGACCACAGTTTATTTATCCATTCACCTACTGAAGTACATCTTGCCTGCTTCCAAGGCTTGGCAATTACAAATAAAGCTGCTGTAGACATCCAAGTGCAGGTTTTTTGTGTGGACATTGTTTTCAACTCCTTTGGGTAAATACCAAAAAGTGTGATTTATGGATTGGATGATAGGAGTATGTTTAGTTTTGTAAGAAACTGCCAAAGTGTCTTCCAAAGTGGCCAAACCATTTTGCTTTCCCACAGGTTGAGAGAGTTCCTGTTGCTCCACATCCTTGCCAGCATCTGGTGTTGTCAGTGCTCCAGATTTTGGGCATTCTAATAGGTACGTAGCGGTATCTCATTTTAATTTACATTTACCTGCTGACAAAGATGTGGAACATCTTTCCATATGCTTATTTGACATTTTTATAGCTTCTTTGGTGAGGTATCTGTGAAGGCCTTTGGTCCATGTTTTAATTTTTTTTTTTTTTTAAAGATTTTATTTATTTATTTGACAGAGACACAGTGAGAAAGGAAACACAAGCAGGGGGACTGGGAGAGGGAGAAGCAGGCTTCCCACGGAGCAGGGAGCCTGATGCGGGGCTCAATCCCAGGACCCCGGGATCATGACCTGAGCGAAGGCAGACGCTTAACAACTGAGCCACCCAGGCGCCCCTTAATTTGGGTTGTTTTGTTTTCTTATTGTGGAGTTTTAAGTGTTCTATGTATATTTTGGATCATAGTCCTTTATCAGATGTCTTTTGCAAATATTTTCTCACCATCTATGACCTATCTTCTCATTCTCTCGACAGTCTTTTGCACAGCAGAAATAATTTTAGTGAAGTCCAGCTTGTCAATTATTTCTCTCATGGATTGTGTCTTTGGTGTTGTATCTAAAAAGTCACTGCCTACTGTTGGTACGCAAACTCTGCAGGAGCATCCCAGGTGTAATCTGAAACGGGTCCCCATTTCTGGGGCAAGGCAGAGAGACCAAAGAAAGAGGCAGGCCACTCGAGGTTGGTAACTGACGAGTTTAATAAGTAAGGGAACTTACCCGCGAGGCTTGTCTTGAGCAACAGCAAGATGAGTAGATCTCCACACCTGCCCATCAAATCTAAAAAGTTTCTATACAGGAATTAACTGGGTTCAGTCATGTATACTGTCTGGATGGTCTTAACACCACATCACTATCTCAAAGCAGCCTCTGGAAGTGGGGAAGGCAAACGAAATCCACATTCCAAGGATAGGGGAAGAGGTGTGGAGCCTCTGATTGCTGGGGTCCAGCTCACGGCTCAGCTGGTGATCCTGTCCTCTCAATGACTTCCCCCAACACCCAGCCAGAGGTTTTCTCCTATGCTATCTTCTAGGGGTTTTGTAGTCTTGCGGTTTATATTCAGGTCTGTGATTCACTTTCAGTTAACTTTGGATGTGGTTATAAAACATAAGGCGTCCTTGTACTTGTGGTATTGGAACTGTTCTGCATCTTGACTTTGGTGGTGGATCTATAGATCTACACTTGTGATAGATTGTATAGAATTAATACCCATACAAGTATAAGTAAAACTGATGAAATCTGAATAAGATCAGTAGGTTACATCACCATCAATATCCCGGTTGTCAGATTACATTATAGTTTTGCAAAATATTGCCATTGGGGGAAACGGGTAACGTGTACATGGGATCTCTCTGTATTATTTCTTCTGATTTCATATGAATCCCTATAATTATCTAAATAAAAAAGGACTACAGGTTAAGCCCAAGAACTAACCTATGTGGTCTTTGGAATCACAGAATTAATGTTAGAGTTGGGAAAGTCCTTAAAACAGCATTTCTGGGGCACCTGGGTGGCTAGTCGTTAGGCATCTGCCTTCGGCTCAGGTTGTGATCTCAGGGTCCTGGGATCGAGCCCCGCATCGGGCTCCCTGCTCCGTGGGAGCCTGCTTCTCCCTTTCCCTCTGCCTACCACTCTGCCTACTTGTGCTCTCTATCTCTCTGTCAAATAAATAAATAAAAAATATCTTTAAAAAAAATTAATAAATCTTTTTGGGGCGCCTAGGTGGCTCAGTTGTTAAGTGTCTGCCTTCGGCTCAGGTCATGATCCCAGGGTCCTGGGATCGAGCCCCGCATCGGGCTCCTGGCTCGGTGGGAAGCCTGCTTCTCCCTCTCCCACTCCCCTGCTTGTGTTCCCTCTCTCACTGTGTCTCTCTCTGTCAAATAAATAAATAAAATCTTTAAAAAAACCCAACATTTCCTAGATCATGTTCTCAGGAAGGTACTTCATAACATAGTCTGTGAAAAAAAAAAAGTGAGTTCATGTTCAAATAGGTGAAGGATGCTGTATATTTTAAATTCCATCCTGGAGATTTACTATGCTTATCACTTTAATAATAAAAGTCCTGAAAATGTCTGCATATTAGTCATACGTGGCTTTGATCATTACTGGGTTACAAACATCCACAGAATCTCAATAGCATAAAAAGTAAACAGCTTAGGGGCTGGGGCTTTGCTGATCTAGGGTGGGCTTGGCTAAGATGATCTGCTTCTGTTCCATGTGACTCACATCCTCCTCTTTAACTCTGTTTCCCCAAATTATTTCATTGTGCTAGGTGCTGCAAATAATGGTGATCGAAGTAGACAAAATCCCAACCATCTGGTGAGGGAGGCAGAGAATCAAATTATCACAGAAACAAAATATAAATACACGGTGTGATAGGTGCTTTCTGAAAGAAAGATACACAAGACTCTAAGTGCATTTAAAATAGGGATTTGACCTTGTCTGAGGGAGCGAAGTTGGTGAAGGAAGTTTCCCAATAGATGTGCCATTTGAGCTGGTATCTGAAAGATAAGTAAGCATTGGTCAGGAGAAGCATGACAGCAGCTGTGTCCCAAGCAGTATGAAGCCCGTGGCCCATTTATAGTCATTGTGGCTGGAGTGTAGGTAGTGAGAAGAAAAGAATTGTGAGGCAAAACCAAAAAGGAGGGAGGCACCTGGGTGGCTCAGTCACTTAAGCGTCTGACTCTTGATTGACGCTCAGGTCATGATGTCAGGGTGGTGAGATGGAGCCCTGCATCAGGCTCTTTGCTCAGTGTGGAGTCTGCTTCAGATTCTCTCTCTCTCTCTCCCTCCGCCCCTCCCCCACTCGCATGCGCACTCTCACTCATAAATGAATAAATAAAATCTTAAAAAAAAAACAAAAAGGAAGGCTGGGCTGCACTGGATAGAGCCTCAGGGTTCATGGGACAAATTCAGGGCTTCATTGTAAGAGGCCTAGGAAGCCAGTGAATGATGCTAATTAACAAGCAACATGACCAGTTTTGTGGATCGAGAGGCCCTTTGTGTGGCCATAGTGCGGAGGTGGGGGGATGAGAGGGAAGAAGGGAAAACCAGTCAAAACGCTTTTATTCTCATTTCTAGTAAGTTCTGTAAATATCCCTTAGTGTGTGTTTAGAGAAATTGTATAGCAAACATAGTTTTGCTGGTATATTGTAAATGTTTTTTATAACTATTGCTCTAGAATCATTTGCAGCATTCACAGTCCGGGGATGTTTAAACTGTGCCCTTAAGCTTGAGGAAAGGACACACATTGGGCTTCCCCCAGGGGTGGGTTAGCGACTGTGTTCTGTACTTTTAATTTCCTTTTCCATGCATGACAAGATTTTCTTCTTAAGATAAACCTATTAGGGTTGTGATTTTTCATTTAGCAAAACTTAGAAAAATTAGATTCAGCTGTGATTCTAAATCAGTTATTATGTCCTCAAGGTTTTGGAACCCTCTGTGGCATCTCAAGTGATTTTTCTACTTAAAATGAACGTTTATGCATCTGTCATTCTTTGTGGCTGAACCATGTACTTCTCCCAAGAGAATAACCGAGTATGTCCTCAATAAGAGGATAAATAGAAGAGACACTCATCCAAAAAAAAAAAAAAAAAAAGGCATTATGAAGGGCCTGACAGAGACATCAGACTGGGTGGCTAGAAATAGTTCCCAGGAGACGCTGGAAGGAACAACAACTGGAGAAGGACGTTAGGTGAGATGGTGTCTTCAGAAGGTTGGCAGTGGGAAAGTGGCAGCTGACATGGAAAATAAATAATTGCCCTCCCCTTGGTTTATGAGCCACCTTCTTCAGAAGAAGAGAAGCTCTCCCACAACTGAGGTCGCCAGCAACTCTGAGGCGTGTGGGAAGTATAGCACTTCCATCCAACCCCATCCCTTCTCATTCCTGGAAGACGCAGTGAGAACTTTGGGAGGGGGACGGCAGTCCATGGTGAGGAAAGAGCCAGAATGGAAAGGCAACCCATGTGCTCTTATGGCTGGAAGCTGGCTCTAACTCTGTAGGTGGCCCAGCCGGTTATTGGGCCAGGGCTCCAACCCCTAGCTGCTGGGCATGTTGGCCCCTAACAGCTCACAGCTGCCCCTTTCTCTGAAGATTTGCCCTCAATTGGATGGTAGCTGCCTCACCTGGAAGTGAAGCCCACCATCCCCACCCCCAGAGGCCAGGGCTAATGATTTATTGGCATGGGGGCCATTTGTGCCCCAGAGCTGCTGATGGGATCGGATTGAAGCTGGTCTCTAGCCAAGCCCACTCCCCTGCACCCCACCCTATCCTGCTTCCATCCCTCCCTTTCTCTTGAGGGCTCTCCTTCGATGAACCACGTACCTTCAAAACTGTGTCAGGCCTGGCTGCTAGGGAACTGATTCTAAGACAGGGGCTTGGCAGTGAACAAACAGTTACTTAATTTTTTTTTTTGAGAATAATTCACTGATTAACACAAGTCTGGTAAAAATACCTTCTCTGCCTTTCAAACACTTCAACGGGCCATTAAGAGGTACTTGCCAAAGACTGCTGCTATCCACTGAATAAGACACCTGGGCAGCTTGGCTCAGGCACAGGTGTTAAATCGCAATGCCTGGTATCCTGGGAAGGTTACATTAAGCCCTCAGACTGTAGTCCCACGGGAGAGTTCCTACAGCGCATGGGTGGGCAAACTATGACCCAATGGGGCAAATCTGGCCCGCAGCCCATTTTTGTATAACCTATAAGCTAAGAATAGCTTTATATTTTTAAATGCCCCCCCCAATCAAAAGAAGAATATTTGGGGGGTGTGAAATTATATGCAATTGAAATTTTCGTGTCCGCAAATACGGTTTTATTGTCTCCCAGCCACACCCATTTGCTTACTGATGATCTGCGGCTGCTTTCCTCCTGCAGCAGCAGAATGGAGTGGGGGCAGCAGAGGCTGTAGAGCCGGCAAAGCCTACAATATTTACTGTCTGCTTTTATCGGGAAAGTTGCTGATTCGGGCTGTAGAGGAATGAGTCCTGCTCTGTTTGACAGAGTTTGC